ACTTTAATTACAATTGTTTCGATTTACGGTCATTTATTTTTTGTTATTTTCAATCTTTAAAAAAGTTTATCCCTCGAGTTTACTTGTCATTGCGCCAACAGTAACGAATCATATTAATTCTGGCGATTCGGCGACCTAAAAAGGATTTGAGAATAATTGCATTTCCAATATTTTTACAAACGACCGAATCGACGAGAAAAACAAAGGCACAAGTCTTTATCATAAGCCTAAATCGATTTAATATTTTAGATATAAAATATAAATACAAACACACACACATGCCCGCACCCAGAGACAATATAGACGCATGTATATAATAATAATTTTAATAGTGTTAAATAAAGAGCCACGCTACTGCTTAACGATTGACTGAGCACCGAAACATTAAGGCTTATACTTTTAATACAATAATAATAGACAATTTAGCAGACAATAGACTATTTTCTTATTACGCATTGTGAATTCGACCGCATAATGTGTTTTTTTTAAAAAGATTGTATGATAATTTTTATAAATTTACACGTCATTGTTTCCCTGTGACTAAAGAACGTGGTCGTTTTTATAAATGCAAGAAGTTTAATTAAAACAATGGTTTGAAATATAATACATCAACATCGGTCGAAGGCTAAGCTAAAGGTAAACACGTTCTATTTTTTTTCTCCCCGAGAGACATATTTTGCCCGCGATGGCGATACGCGATAATCTAATTTCACGACTCTCAAATCTTCTAATAAGAATACAGATTTGGTGTCTAGGGCCTTAAATTCGATCACAAGATAATAAAGTGCTGCCTCTAAAACTTCTAAGTAAATTTACTCCAAGAGCAATATTATTAGAAACTATACGTTTAACGTTGAAACAATTTATTTTTCACACGTTCAAATCTTCACGAACCCGAATCTCAATTAATACCCATAAAATATAAAAGGTAAAACGAATTATTTTTAATTTTTGGGTACAAAAGTCGTGTTGACAAATAAACATAAATAACACAGATTATAAGAGACCATAAATTCTATGTACGCAGTTTTAATTGATTAGATAAAATCATACCGAAGCGTCTATTAATTAAAACGAGCATAATATTCTCGTCTATACGTTCCGGTATTGAAACATGAATCATATTATATACATTAAATCAATTTGGATTGGATAACAGGCTGAAAGTGTAACATTATTAAATCACGTTTATGTAGGTTGTGTTATACACGTGAATTCACATAATATATTATAGTAAAACTAGGAAAATAGATTTAAAGCGAACTCTTTAAGCCTTCAATCGGTTTATGTCTGTCTCCAACAAAGTATAAGTAATATTGGTCTGCAAATTATATCGAAATGTTTATAAGCTAATCAAATATTTTGTTATTATTTAACAAGCTCATTGTTTGTTGTACTTAAACAATCATTTTTAAAATATCTAAGTTTATTTGACTTTGTACAAAACGGTAACGACTAACTAAATACTGCGTTAGAAAAAACAATGACCCAATGACCTACAACTATATATACTTAAGACCAAGTTGATTTTCGTAATATTGAACGTGTAATATGACACTTCATACTACCGAATACACCTAGACTTTCTTTACTGAAACTATTTTCGTTAAACCAATAACATTCTAAATACGGTTTGGTATTATTATTATAATTTTTTTATTTTCACAGACTTGGGCGTGACCGGTCTACATAATTGTTGCTCGTGATATAAAAAGCCTTTACAATACGTTGATTATATATTACAATACCGATGACAATATAACTATATAGTATGTAAATAAAATAACAAGTCGTTAATTTTTTGTTATAACATCTCATAAATAAATATAGTGATTAGTGTTTTTTTTTTTATAGAATTACGAAACCACTAACGACGAAAAGGAGTAAGAACGCGTGCCCTTCGTCGGGTTTTTCTCACTATAATAAACCTTAGTAATACAATGCCCGAATCACTGTACGGACTTCAACTAAATATGGCCGGAAGACAAAATGTTGACACGCGCACGATGGCTGTCGAACAAAAAAAAAAAACGTCACCTGGTATATTTACTACTATAAGTATAGGTACTACGTGTCTCGATTATTATAACTAGGTACACGAGGAGGGACTTTCGGCTAAACCGGTTTCACCCCGGTAGTCCTTAATAATATTTCAGTATAGGTACTTCATATGGTCTCGCGTACACCTGGTGCCAGCTCTGAACATTTTCTCGGGTTACACGAAGAAAAGTGACGTTTTTGCTTGCACACATGTGGCATCACCACGACGCTCCGGGCACCAGACCGCCGTACCCGCCGTTCAGGACGATTTATTACAATTAATATACGATTGGGTGGCGTACAGCACGGTACATAATAATATGGTCACGGTAAACCCTGTATAATGCGTGCCGAATAAGACGGTATTTAAAAATAGTGTGTACTCGGGGGGTCGTCGACATCGACGGTGACGTATGCCAATGAAAACACGAATGTCGTGTGCGGCGTTGTGACATCGAGAAAACCATACGAGATACCCATTATAATATGTGTGTGTATTTTTCGCCACGATGATGTCGTACATAATATTATCTTTTTTTTGCCTTGGTTATTAATAGAAATGGCTGTTGGTTACCGCGAGTCTGTGCTACACCCGCGGACGCGGACGCAGCGGATCCCAGAAGGGTCCTGGAACGCCTAGATGGATATTATTAACGTGGGCGTCGGTTAATAATATCCAGCAATGCCGTCCACTCGAAAACTTCAGTCCAATGACGCTTATCGTTATGCGAGTTCGTCATGTTGACTTGAACTGTTCAAAAGTAAATACACGCGCGGATCGATAACGGTACAACATAAAAAAACATCCTGTCGAGTGCTTTGGCTATTGTAAAACGGACCGTCTTCGAAAACTGTATCGAATAGAGACAACTTAGGAAAATGCTCGATTAGTGTGTACGGTCGTTACAAGTATTGATGTTCACGAAAATCCCAAAATAATTGTCAATTATTACAAAAAAACACAGCATTACCGCAATGAAATGTCTTATTGGAAACAAATCGGTAACATTAGTTTGAATACGACTAAGCGGTTTAATTTATAGCGATCGAAACGCTCGTTTCGTAATAAGTAATAGCTAATAATCTTTTGAGAGCACTTCGCCAATCCACATTTGTCCGTAACGACGTTATTCACATTTAATATTAGGTAAGCAACTGGATTTCTCTGTCTGCAAAGTTTCGAGATCGCATTCGACATGAGAGTGGAAGTTTATCGCAAACTTCGTGCATTCATTTTGTATTGGTTGAACTCGACAAACTTGATTACAATTTAAAAAAATAAGAAATTTAAGAAGACGTTTGAAAAGTTTGTAATTTTAAAATTGATAAAAATGTTTTAAGTACAGCTCTTATCTAACTTTGATACTTGTCAGTTGTCGACAAATTATATTTCTCAAGTTATGTAGTTGAATTCCATAAATACTTTTGCACGATTTACAGAATATTAAGTAACTAGGGTAATTCAAATATGATTAGACCCCTAACTTTAATCATAAACTATTATGGACAACCAATTAGCACAATCATTTAAAGTATTTTACTAAAAAATAAAATTTATCAATATTATATTTCAATTGCGAGTTATTAATAAATTTAACCGAAATTGTATGCACATAATTCATACATTTGGTAAAGATGGGATATTACTAAATTTAATGCATTAGTAACAAAAAAGTAGAAAATAAGAAGTGAGTTTACTAGAAAAAAATACAATACCGGTATTGCCAGCTGTGAATTACAAAAGAATACGAACTGAACATGTGATGGAATAAAAGAAGGGTCGAAAGATTCAGCGTAGTATATAGGGTTGAGTAGGAAAGAAGTTAGAGGGTTTACAGTTTCTATTGCTCACCAAACATCAGCCGAAATGTGTAGATATCTTAACGACAGATATTACAATAAAATAAAAATATAAAAACCGTTATTTGGTTTAAATAGACGCCGCACTTTCAGTGAACAAATAATTATAAGACTGGAATAAATCGCAAGAATAATATTGTTAAAATTTCATGGATTGGCGTTTTTTTTTTTTTTCAAACCAATGTAATTTTTTTATTACATTCTTTAACCTTTAACACTACGAACCCAAATTTGATAATTATTATAAGTATAAAACACAGAACCCTAGGAAGTATTAAAACTGAGATTTCTGATAAACTTTCGACAAGAATTTGTCATGATAGCTTCACCAACTTCACCATAACACGAGAACATACGTTTAACGTATCAAACCCAATTGTAAAACTCTCATTGTGAAACAACTCTACTAAATATAATGTAATGCCATACGATAAACCAGTAAAATGATACGTACAAAATACGAAATATACTACGATAAATCAAAATGGTACAATCAAGTGAATCCTTATTTAGATTGTTGCTATAATTACATCCATAATGATGTATATTTTGAATAAATCATTATACTGACTTGATTGTCATTTATAATGGTGGATAGTTTAGAAATGAATTAATCTATAACACAATGATTAATTATTTATTAATGTCGTGTATAATATCTTAATGCGTTAACAAACAAAAGCCTATAATATAATTTGATTGCTAATGCGTTCTGACTGATCAACTATACATTTTATGTTAAAGTGGGGATCGTCACCACTATTGGTAAAAAAATGTGTTTACATTGAACCTTGGACTTGCTAAAAACGCCGACTAGAGTGAATTCGTGGTAAGCCCCATTTGACTATTTAGCCATTTTAGACCATTCCAATTACCGAGTTCAAGAACGGCGTTATTCCGAACCGCTGCTAACTCGAAGGATTGACCGCGAAATAAGACACACGTTTAAGTCCCTAGAGTTTTAATTTATCCCGATTACCACGTGCGGATAAAGGGGTTGGAGAGGAGACCTAACGGTCTTCATTCTTCGCCGACATCCGACTAATACGTTTTGTACCATTTGGGGAGAGTTTAAAAATTGACGACAGCTGTGTACTTACCGAAATCTGAAATAGGAGACTCTCAGTTCAAATCTGGTGTGCCCTGTCCCTAGAAGATTTTCAGTAGAAAACTTAGCTTGTAATCCTAATGTCGTTGATCGTTCATATTCGTTATTATAAACTCAACCGCACGCCGAACCGAATATTAGGAGGCACAACGTTGGTAATACTATTGGCAACACAGGACAACGGCGGCCGAAACGCACAACACAACTGCAGCGAAGACAACCTGATAACCGTCGGCGGCGGAAGCAGAAGTGTGTTCAACATATTGGAATCCGTACGTTAGAGGGCACCACTGTCGCCGTTTTTGAACTACAATGGCACAATGCGCTTGGATCGATAAACGTTAGATTTTTGTTTTACCAATAGAGTGTACCAGCCGTATTAACCCCAGGATTGTTTTCAGGCCAGTTCGCTAATCATATTTTACCTCCTCAGTTGAACCCCGGGGCTAGTGTAATACTAGGAAAATATGTTTTACCTATTGTGTAAAGGTTGATCAAAAATCAAGTTATTTATTGTGAACTCTAGAAGTAACGATATGTGCGGGGGCAAGCTATTTTACTTGGCACCATTGCTCTACTCTCGCTCCTAATATAACTACTCATTTAAACTCCCGTTCCGTTTCCATCATTACCTCCAAGCTTTGTTATTTAACTTAAGAATTCTGTTATTTAATTACGTCTAAATTATTGATATTGTTATATTTATTTTCGTTGCATAGTATCTAATTGTTCATGTAATTGTATTTACTATTTATCAAGTAATTGTTGAGCCGATAGATTTTTTAATAAAGGCTAATTAAAAAATATTACAATTATATACAATTAAACTGTCTAGAAAGAAGTCTTTAACAATTTTTTTTTTTTTTTAATTAATTATGTAATTGATTTACATAATGACACTTGATGATAAAAATAAACTTATTAATAAACTAATTTGGGAATTATTTTTAATTGACTTGTATAATAGATAGATGGGTTGTTTTTTATTTTAAAAGTTAACACGTTCAACATAACATAATTATATTTTTTACACTTTATATGTAATACAGCTGCATTTATTAATAAATAAGTACGTACGTACGTCCGTGTTAGCGAGCTAAAAAAAAGCATGTAAAAATACATAGTTGTACTTATCAATTTCAATTTATTACGGATAGTATAGGGATACAACACATTTATAGTTGGAATAACTTAATAAATAGTTAAAACACGATTGACGCATTTTTTGGGGGATAAGTAGGGAGGATAAGTCTTAGCTATATTAATTTTAAGGTCTGTGTACCCGTCGTTCCACATTTAAGTATGAAAGCAAATTATTGTACCCGTTGAAAAAAGTTTGAAAATGTACTCAAAATACGTACGTATACCCGTTTCATATAAATCGTTCCGGAGTAATCTCATAAAATAGCGTTAACAACAAAATTTCGTTTCAAATTACACCCCCGGAATAATTAGGCTAACAGAGTACCTTATTTTTTAATAGTACCAGTAAAATATATTAAAACGTCTTAATCCATAGTATAGCATCTCCCGAAAAATGGTTGTTCCTTCTCTCGCCTCCGAATGAACATAATAGCCTTCCAGGTCACTCTTTTGATTTATTTTTAAATAATTCCCCATATTGTCCTTATATAGTCTTTATCTTTGTACTACCTCTCATTTTTTTATTGAATGACTCGTTATTTTTGATAAACGTCAATTTCTCTCAAATTGTTGTTATAATATTCATTTTTCCATTTTCTTTTCCGGATATTCCTCTGGCGTCTTTCATATTTTGTCTATTGTTAATTTCTTCCTTTCTGAAATCTTTTTATTATAACTTATTAATTTAAAGACTTATTCTAGTTGTTTTCGTCCTAGTTTTAAGTGCCTAGTTTATAATTATTATTAGTTGATCTAATTGTCGTGATAAATATTATTTTAATGTGTCTAATAAAAAAAAAACAAGATTTCTACATACGTGCTTAGGGGCAACGTTTAGAAATAATTTTATCAGTTATCAAACGCTTCGCTGCGAACTTGTAAATAAATAACCCTTGATATAACAAATAAATCGTAATGTATTCGGTATTTGGCTTAAAACACTATATTTGACAAAAGAATGTCGAATCAAATGGAAATTTGAATAGGGTATTGCTTGTAGGTACGTTGTTATCTCTCGATGGTAATCGGAAAAATGTCCAAAATTATTTTTTAACGAATTATTAATTATGTGTGTAATGTTATTGTACTAATAAGTAATATATATTTCAATCAATATATTTATAAAACATAAATACTAAAAATGTATTTTTTTATTTTCGTTTGGTTTGTAACAACTTTTGTCGATAGGTATAACAATTCTACATTTTGTTACAATATCAATATTCAAAAACCATACTATATTATAAGCCGAAAATACAAAAATGTTGAAGGACGATATTTTAATTATTTTTGTTTTAACTACTATGTTGTTTTTTTATTTGCTTTTTGAACGAAATAAACATTAATTTGTCTGAATGTGTCAAACCTTTCATGAATTGAAATATTAGGTGGATAGTTTTCAAGTGTCGGACTCATTGCAGAGGTACATCTTCGGAGCGGTGTCACCGTCCGCTGTCGTGTCTATGCTGACTGGCTCGCTACGGTTTTCTACCGCTATTTATGTGTCCCTCGACCTTAAAAGCACCGTGTTATCTCGATCAGAGGGTTTCGTACGTGTTCTGTCGTGTCATAACCTGTCGTCATGTGCCGTGTAACTTTCTGTGTATGTTTTTTTTGTTGTCCTTTACATATTATTGTTCTTCCTTTCGTATACGTAACCCCCTGGTCGAGAAAGCGCGGTACTTTCAAAGACGCGGAACTCATATAAAAAGCGGCGGAAACATGCGAGTCGGCGACAGAAGGACTTTGTAATGATTTTGAATCCCTGGATGGATACTTCCGGAAATTATCCACACAATTCAATGGTCAGTTCGTCATTAAAATAACAAACAAACTCAAGGTAGGATGATTTCTTCAAGTTTTTTTCGTATTAAAAAAAAAAAGAAATCTATAAAACTAGTCTTATAAATAACGAATGTTCTGAAGGGAAGTCTGTAAAGTGAGGACACTTCTATTGCGCAACATACAAAACGATAGTTGATACATCCAATTTCGAAATATTAATTTTGAAAATATTAACCAGCGTTGCTTGAAATTGGACATCACGTTAAATAATAGCTGCGTCTCGCTTGTAGTCAATAAGTTTCCTTTCAATGTTAACACCATAGTGGTGTAAGTCACATTAATCTTAATTAGAGAAAAACAAGGTTTAATAAAAACTTTTGTATTGTGCTGCCATCTGGTGGGTAAAGGTTTTGAGTTACGGCTTAATTAACTTTGCCTTTCGATAAATTGACTTCTTGAGATGTGAATATTTACTTATTATACATTGTATTAGTATCATTGTTGTTACTTTATATTATCTGATCTGATATACGCGCACTTACAATAAGTTTATCCTGGACTTCGTCGTAGAAACTGTCGATTTTTACAACCCAATATTTAGGCGTCACTTAACATTAATTACAAATGAAAGGAAAGTTTGTACTAAATCAATTTTGCGTATATTTAATCGGGATCGTCTTATACTTAGCCATTTCAAAGCAGTCATAAGCGAAAAATAACCACCCAACGTAATTTTTAAACAGTATTGTGTAAACAATAAGTAATACTTTGTTTAATATATTACTTTTTAAAGCATTTTGTATAGGCAATTTTTCCAAAAACTTAGTGTATAGTTAATGTTATTTTGTATATTTCTTTGGGTAGTATTGAGGATACTTTGTTGGTAGTTAATAATTTTATTAGACTATCACAGCCTTCATTATAATTTATATGATTCCCTAAAAATACAACCTCTAGCTTTTTGCTTACAACTTTCAATGAAATATTTTACCAAATAATCGGATAGCAAATATTTTTTAGATTTTTGAAGACTGAAACTTTAACTTTGTCTCGTGTGTACAACATTGCATAGTTATCGCCAAATTATAAATAACACTTCTACTATTCTACCAGATATATCGACGTGTCCAACAAAGAAGGCAAACATTTTTTTTTTTTTTTTAATCGAGTTACGTCCTTCTTTGTTGGACACGTCGATATGTTATATTATACTGAACTGAATTAATTATGTTAATAAAGATAAACACTTTTGTCGGCAATGTCCAAGTGGTGCCGAATCTTTTATGGGAAACTAAGTCTAAATATTTAACAACCGCCCACACCAAAATTTGTTTTCAATACCTTTTTGACGATAATATAATTTTTTCTTATAAATTTTCGCCCACCTTTAATATTATATAAAGCGATCGCTTCAGTTCGGGTTTGGTGCCACTGCTGAATGCCTGTTATAACTAATGAATTTATTGATCAATAATAAAACTAGTTCCAACGTTATACCTACCCTTATTGTTTTTTTTTTTTTTTATAAAATACCTACTCAAGAACATACGTTTTTTTTTTTATTATGAGCTGGTCGAAGACATTGAAACATAAAGTTCACATAAAGTACATGTATTAGAACACACGTGCTGTGCGAGTCAACTAGTCTCCATGACAACAGCAACAACGGCGGAGCGACGCTATGCTGTTCCGCCGAGACTCGTTTCGGGTACCGCCACACTAAAAGTCAGTCTCCGTCTCGCAATGGACACGTTTCGCACATGTTTCTCCATGCTGATTTGGATACACGGATTCATCCACGGTATAGGTCAGTATCGAGACTAGAATATATTTTTTTTTTTATGGATAGTTTAATACAAAAATGATTGATTTTCTTGAATACAATTTTTTTTTTTTTTTTTAATATCTTTTAGTTTTTAGAAAAAAACAATAAATACCGTCTGCACGTAAATATTTTAAATGTAATTTGACATATTAAAATGTATTTTAGTATAAGCAACGCCTAAATAACGTAACTATACATAGTATTGTGATTAAAATATGGGTAAATTAAAACGCAATGGAAAAGCCGAACCAGCTTTGTAAAAAACAAATACCCTACTTCGTTTTTTTCTAATATATAAAATTGATTGTCGATGAAAAACAATAACGGTTGTTAACTGCTCTAAACACGCTAGTCAATTTCAAGAGAGCCTTTTTTCTTTCTTAAAAAAAAAAAAAAAATAATAAAACGGCCTAATCAAAGAATAAATTGAACTCGCGTTTTAAAGGGTAAAGTGTGTGGAGAACACATTACCCGGCGATGTGCGTAATAGTAAAATAGAAAAAACAAACGTGGAAAGCATAAAAAACCAGGTTAGTGAACAAATTGGGGTAAATAATCTATCAAAAGTATAAAGTGTATAGGTCAAAGGTAAGTATTCAAACTACGCGGTTTTTGAGGTAATAGACATCATGCATCACCTTTCAACTTTAAAATTTAATACACATTAAATGGAATAGCGACTATACGTCGGAAAATGTTTTATTTTTATTAAACGGTAATATAGTTGATTCGGAGTAGTCGATTTTTGTGTTCAGTCCACCAGACTCGACATCTCGTTGGTATTACCCGAGAGACCCGCCCAGTAGCACAAATTCTATCTTTAAAATGTTCAACATCAAACGAATGATTTGTGATAAAAATTGTTTTGGACGACAAGCGACATTAAATTTGAAATTCGCCGAATCTTATTTATTCAAAGCTTATTGCGATTCAAACGATATTACTTAATTTATGTATACAAGTCAAACGTCGTTTATTTCATATCAAAATCAGGCGATTTGTATACTAAGGTCAAATGGTTTTTTTTTAGTTCAATATTCTCATGCAGATGTTTATGATTTAAACACTAAGATTTTAATCGAATACCGAAAACCCGTTGTGTTGTAGGCAGTAGGCGCATGTTAAACTTATTTTAAAAGTTTCCAATTTCATACTTAACGATTTAGAAAAAAATATTAATTCGGGTTTGGTGTGTTAGTATTTATTATTAGCAACCTTAGTTCGTTTGCGTAATAGTCAAGGCTGAAATGTTTATAATTCACATAACGTAATTTGTAAAATTAGATTTAATTGATTTAATTTTTTACTACCTTTTTTTTTTTAGTATTGATTTTTTTTTTCAAAATCTGAAAAAAATTATAATTACAGTTAAAAAATAAAATATGTCGTGGGAAAATTTGATTTTATGCCTATTTTGGGAATGAAAAAAATATATAAATAAATCTCGGCCCATTCCCGTTATTAGATGAAAAGATTTGATTTTAGCATCTGATTTTATGGTAACAATTTTAGAAATTTAAAACTGGTCGAAATCGATTCTTCGTGAAAAAAACTTTAAAAACCTCTATTTTAGACGTAAATATAAGTGATAAAAATTTCAAAATAAAATAAATGTCTCTCATATTACCCCTTTATGATGTTTAAAAAAAAAATTCGTTTGACTCGGAATGCCCCACATATAAAGGTTATTGTTTATTTTATGTTAGTGCATTTTTCATAAATTTATGCCTATATTAAATGGAATAAATGATGAATAAAAAGTGCGTTTGAATAAATTTAAGTTTTACAATATGTGCATTAATTCTGAATATTTTGAGACCTGAATCGTTCCTCTCTTAAAAATTTATCGAGTTATTTTTGTTTAAATTTATTTTTAGAAAAAACGCATTTAAGTTTTAAAATTATGCCAAATTTTTATTTTACATACTCGAGGAATAAATCTTAACTACCTAACATTTTTTTTTTATTTAAAAAATTCAATAAACCGAAAAAATGAAATGAAAAATCCTTTCTCCCAGAATTGTTAAAAACTTTTTTTTTATTTCGCGATTTTGGATGTAATTCTAGGTCATAAGATCTGAAAATTAGGTTTAAGATAGATTATGCGACATATTGTCGAAAAATAATGAAAAATTTTGTCTATTGATTGAATAATAAAAAAATAAGCTACTAATGATATTGATACATAGTATACTTAATTCTTAAAATTTGTAAAACAAGATTTTGTCAACAGTTGCTTGAGTGGACTTAATTAAATATGACATGTGGCGTCCTTTAAAAATTACACTTATTTTATAATAATTAATAATTTAAAAACTCTTTTATGCGTCATTAAAGTAATTTACTTATACAATATCTAGGAAGATGTAAAATTTAAATAAATAAAACACAATTTGTGTATGCAGGTTGAAATACATTAACATAGTCTAAAATCTAAATAATAGCATATGCTCTTTAACTTCAACCTACTAACTTGCTTCACTGATTAAATAATGTATTTTAAAACATAAAATATCCAGTTAAACGCATAGACTACTAAAATAATAACCGATTTGTTGTGTTTATGTACTAACATTTCAGCTATAAATTATAATAAGGCTTATAACTTATTTTTATTTTAATAACAGGTAAACTAACCTTTTTTAAAAAATACACAAATTTATTAAAAGCTATTTTGCAGTTTGCAAATTCGATATTTAAACGTAATTTCATATTATAACGTTTTTATATACAAAATAGATTGGTATTTGTACTCAATTTGATTTTAATTATGCGAAAATGCATGTTATTTAAAGATTTAATTTACTAACATTGCTATAAACGCCTACTACAAACTAGTTACTTTGGAATTTCACAAACCGTTTAAAAAAAAAACATTTTTCATGGTTGATAATATTGCTATATTATAAGACCAAAAAAACGTGTTTTTACATAACAAATTATTTTAAAAGTATGTAATGTTAATTTATATTAAGACTCTAAGGTTGAATTGTAGCTAGTATGTGGTTTGCACGATTTAGTAAATTAAATGTATTTTTAAAATTAATTTTGCATCTCGGTGGCCCCTTAATCGTAACCCAAATCTTATCGTAACTTAAAAAGGTTAGCACTGGTTGCATCCCTTTGTTGAGTGACATATGGTACAATTACAGTACCAGTGGTTCCCAAATCCCAATATCGTAAAAAATTCTTGTATAATGTATTAAAATAAAATATCTATTATAATTACTACATTATAAAAATATTATATTTGTAAAAATTATGTCAACTATAAAATAAAAGAGTTTAAATTTATAGCAAACCATAGGTTAGGTTATCATTTTTTCAATGAACTTAAGTAGGTTGGTGGTAGCAATTTAGTTATCGTTACGCTCCAAGTGCTTTTATTATTTTTTACAAATACATTAAAAACAGTTTGCATAGAGTTCGTAGTGATGTTTTGGCAAAATTACCTAAATATCGAAATAAAATTAGATACCATTGGCATAATGCATGAAGATGAACATTTCTGAAAACATAAAAATAAATCTAATGGTACTGTTTCGTGGTACTAATCAACTGTTTTCAACTAATACAAAAACTACTAAAAAAACTAAGAATTTGTGTTAACGGTAAATGATACTTGTATGTTGATGGAACATTCCAGTACTGCACAAGCATTTCTGCAAGCTATTTACTTTTCGTGGATTAGTACCAACAGTAATAATATCAGTTTAATTAACCACTAAAAAAAGAAAAATTCAATAACATTTTAAGGTAGGTTTGAAATAGTGATGGGAAATATTCGAATATTTGAATATTCGAATATTCGAATAGTTTGGATTCGAATATTCGGGACTCGAATCTCAATAAGGATTCGAATCCTTCGAATAGTATTCGAATCCTTCGAATAGTATTCGAATCCTTCGAATATTCAAATAGTAATAATAATTAATTTACAAATAGTTTTTTCCTAATAAATTTGTTTTATTGATGCCTATATATTTAAATATTATAATTTTATGATGATGTTTTTTGTTTTTCTGTTCAAGAAACACAATAAATATGAATTGATTTGTTCGATGACCATCTCTATTGATCCAAAATCATATTTAATTCGTACTCAGTATTGAGTAAAAAGTTCATATTATGTATAATAAACTTCTTTCCTGTCAAAACTGGGAAAACCCATAAACAAATACGCTAATTTTCCCTCTTTAAAATTCGACACGCATTACCTTTGTATAATACGAGTTATTTTTATAGAACATTTATTAGGCATTTCCTTATTCAAAAAAAACTTTAAACGTATCTCCTTACCCACCAGGGTAAAAAAAAATTGTATGTATAATACTTTTGCAGTACCCTCGCCAATTTACTTAAGTCACATATTAATTGAATGAAATTTAAAAACGCGATCAGATTGTATTGGATAGTTTATAAATTGTAATTCAAAATTCATCAAATACATACATATATTATATTTAATTTATTTAATATTCGATACAAAGTTCTCTAATTTTGTTTAATTTAAAACAACACTAATAATAATATGTTTAATTTAACATACATAATATAATTTATATCCTATAATGTATAGTAAATACAATTAGTGTAACGTTTGTGACAAACCTAGATATCAATTTTAGATATCAATCTAAAAAAAATAATACAAATAATTATGTGTACTTGTACTTTGTCCAAAAAATATACCTGTACCTAAGCCAACACAAATTGAACTTAATGATTGTGTGCTTAACTAAATAGTAATATTAATAACCATTAAATAATATATAATAATAATATACAAGTCAATAACAATAAATCAATTCTGGAGTAAAATTATATTTCTAAATTTCTATTTTGGTATAAAAACACTAAAGCCGAAACATTAGCTGGGTCTAATCTGTTTCGTTTATTCGTTACAATACTGCCAGCAGCCGAAAACACTCTCTCCGAAGAAGCTGAGGATGCTGGTACAGCTAATATTTTTTTTGCCAATT